GAGACAAATGAAAAGACAGCAGGGGGAGGGGGCTGAGTTTCCAGGGAAGGGGGAGAGCCCGCAGGGGCTCACCGGGTGTCTCTGGGAAGCCCACCGTCATGAGAGAAAGGCAGTCCCTCCCTCCACTGTCCCTCAGCAGCTGGTCTTCCAAGGCCAGCGCTAACTAGTAGTCAGCCTCCCCTAGCCTGCCTCCTGTCCCTTCAGTCTCTAAGCCTACAACGTCAGTGAAGAAGCAGAGGTTTCCCTGTCGCCTCCGTGATAATACCAGAACCCCGTGGATCAGCAGAGGAGGCCCAACGGCGGAGACTTCTCTTTGTACGGCATAATTACGCTAAAGAGTTCTCCACCGCAAGATGTGGAGACGGTTGCCAAAGTTGATGGGATTTTCGGGGGACAAGAGAACGCATGGAGGAGAAAGTTACACTGATCGTTAGTAGCTATTGATCGTGCAGGCTATATAATGGTGGTGGCTGTGCAGTTCTGGGGGATTTTCTTAATCTTGTTCTGAGATACGTCCAGTGGGTTCTGTGGGAACCGAAAGCTGGACAGAATGGGCCGTTGTCTGATCCAACGGGGACCTTAGTTCTGTTTGGCGGTCGACCCTGTAAACTCTCACTTGTCCAAGGAAGCATCCGTTTGTCTCCTGGAGGAAGACAGCTCTTCCACCAAAGTGAAGGAAGCTTTGGCAGAGCACAGCTGCATCTGGGCGGCTTCTGCACAACAGCTGCTTTCTGGACTGCTCAAGGAACAATGGATGATTCCTATGTTATGTGCTGGAGAATTGAGGGGATGGGAGGTGTTGCCTTGTACCCCGGCATACCACTCCATCCAGGAAGAAAGGGATCGGCACTCACCGCTTCTCCTTTGATTTGCTGTAGCAGAAGTGGCAGAACTGGACTCCATTTGGAAGACCAGGAGGCCCAGGAGGAGGAAGGAGACAAGGAAGCCCTTCATGGTTGAAGCTGGAGCTGGTGTGGTGTGTTGTGGATGAGCCTGGAATATATACCTCCCACTCTTCGATGCCAAGGCTGGACCTGGCAAGTCTGCTTTCATAACCCTGCTGATGCCAGTTCCCAGAATTCCTTGCAGGCACTCTGCCCAGGTGTGTCCACAAGCTTATCTTGTGGCCCCCAAAGGTTGTTTGGGGCATGTCAGGGTGACTCCCGGAGGAAGGCCGCAGGGTGTACTCTTGCCAGGCAGATCTCCCCACCCCATCCTTGGCAGCAGCCAGCAGGCTGCCCTGTTCACTCTTGATAGCCGTTATTTACAAGGCAATGAAGTCTGGTTACCTTCCATGGATCCTTACTCAGTCACCACGGGGAGATGACCTACTGGCTTCTCGGCAGCAGTGAAGCCATTGCCTGTCCAGGCTGCAGTGCCCAGGTCTGAAACCTGAGTGCAGCCTGTGCTCTTGGTAGGGAGGACCCCAAGGGAGCCACTGACACAAAGGCTTCCTCCGACCGGTTGCTCCCCGTATTCCGCTTGGCTAGAACGTGACGGCCAAGGGCCTGACAGTGCCGTCCTTCTAATCTGGCTTGACCCGATTGTTTCCAAAGACCTTTACAGGCTGAGAAGCCTTGTTCTCCCCCTTCCACTGAGAACAAACACCAAACTCCTTAGCAACCTGGGACGTAGGAGCCTTCTCAGCCTCCCGGGAGCCAAGCCAGCCTGTGAGAAACCATGTTTAGGGAGCGGCACCTGTTTGCAGATGTGCCCAGTAGGGGACTGCGTTCAGCTTTCTTCGGTAAACATTGAATGTGTAACAAACGACTTGTTCTCTAATCATGCTCTTTGGCAAAAGAGTCTCTCCTTCTCCAAAACAGTTGTTCTAGAGCCAAGTCTCATGACAGACTCTGCTAACCCCTCTTCCTAAGGAGTTCATCGGAGCTTCTTCC